CTAAAACTCCTTTTTTCAATCATGTAGTTGTTCTTTGAAGTTGAGAGGAAGAGAAGAGTGCAAGTCCTGGATAGTGGATATGCAAAGATTCAGATGCCAATGATTGAACCATTCATCATATCAGGACTGCCTTTGTATTTGAGCTCTACAAAAGTGCCACCGCCTTCTCCCTTGGCCAGTCTTCCTGGATTGATGCAAACGCATTTTGCTTGCTCTTCCCCTTCATTTTTACCTCCTACACTTAATACCTGTACCAGGAAGAAATCATGCAGCATGAACATAAATGGCATTCTATTTTATATTTCAAAGCAAGTTATGGAAGTGAGTCATCCTACAGGCTACTAGCGTTAGCATCCCAAAGGCATGAGTTCTGGTATTTGTTAGAAATTTAAACTATAACTGAAAAGCAGAATCATGGTGTCAGCACCAACCTTGATAAAGTACTTGATATCTGAAGGTAGGATGAGAAGATCTGGCAATAAAGAGAGATGGAGAGCTTCTGGAGCAAGTGAAAAATCCAATGGAACAGCTTCTACTGGAGGGTATAGAGGGTAAAAGCTGTGTTTAGAAACATGAAAAAGTAGATTATTAGACCTTTGAATTCATCTCCTCATTTGAATCTGCAGATAATGTATCAGGTAACTTAGTTTCGATAGAAAGGATGTTATTAAGCATGCCTGCGCTGGCTAAGAACATGGCTTGAGAGTCTGCTGAGGCGATCACTCAGTGTTCCATCTGCTGAATTTCTTGACATCTCTTCTCCACTAAGGTGTTTTAGAATATCCACAGTGCAACAACCTATCTTAACCTGCAAGCAAAAACCATTAATGGATGGATACTCTGCCATACAGTAGATGGTAATCCTTTAGCACAATTAGAAATATGATGACACAAGGTATCTATATGTAAAGACAACAAGGGTGGAACATTTACTACAAACACAAGTGAGTCCTCCACAAGCACAAGATAGATTAAATACAATGAGTAACTGCTAACTGATAACATAAGTCTGGGGATTATTCGGAGTTGAATATTGCATTAAAAATTTGCCATGAAGACAAGCTAAAAGAATGGTAAGGGTTTGAAGTCAAGGTTACGGGATAAAACTACCACATATTTACCTGATTTGCTTCAAAAATTCCTGGATTTGCAAGACTGGTTATCTGCACAAAAATTTAGATAAATAAAAGGCTGCAATTACACAAATGGGTTTTTATTTTTTTGCAGAATACTATGTATGGAATAGCTTAATTGCTTGAAAAATATAATTTACCTGATCTTTGAAATCAGGTGGACGAATATCAAAAGCAGGCTGCACAAAGTTGGGAAACAATTTGAGCAAAGACTACACTATTTTAATCATTCAATGACATGCTACCAAACTGAGCAAGGAAGTATTTTGTATTTTATTTGAGAATAAAATCACCTGAGGGAAAACAAAGTCATGGTTAGCATCACGTATGGATGGGATGAGAATTACACGTACTTCAGAACCCATATATTCCACATAATCATGCAACTGAAATCACAAGAGAGAAAATTGGATGATTTAAAAATCATAAAGTTTTTGTCTAAATGATTGACTGTTTTGCTTTATACATACCCTTTTAAGAACTTCTAACTGAAATATTTGATCAAAGGTCAAGTCAACAGCTCCTTTCTTGATTTGTGGATGCTCTGAATCCACAAAAGGCCCCAGCTGAGGAAAAGTTCAGGAAGCCAACAACAAAAACTGATCACTAAGTGAAAACTGCAATGTGCTTGAAAACAATTAGATTATTGTACAGTGGATTCAAACCAGTATAAGTAAGTGTGGTGGATTTCTGCTTGAATATGCTAGCAGCTCTGTCAACGGCTCAAATGACAAGTTGTCTGTTGTTGTGAAAGGGCCAGCTGCAATAATCTATTCAAACACCAAAACAAATTAACTTACAAATGGTAATTAAGGGATTTGATGGAACATGAAACGGAAATCAGAATTACTTGATTCTCCAATTTTAAAAACCGCAATGCCATTGCTAATTCTTTTTGTCATTCAAAAAATTTATCTCTTTCAAAGAAAATTTAAGTCCAATAATTAATTAATGAAAAATATTTATATTTTAGTCATGTTTTGAATATATATATATATATATATTTCAATTCTTACATTCTCATAACATATTATTTTATCATTGAAAAGCAAACTCTTAAATTCTTTCAAGCACTTATATTTCCAACCTTATCTAGAACAAATCTCTACAAATGGGTTTGATATAAAAGGTCTAACATAATGAAGATATATTCTAATTTCAAACACCCAATGTCATATAGGAGACAGCTTACACACCACTGATATCTCTGCTGGGGTACTGGATAGACTAGTTGATTGGATCTCCTGATCTAAAGCTTGCTTTTTCGCTGGAGGAAGATCTGTATCAGCAGCAGCTGACAGAGGAACATAATCCACCAGCTTTGATGCAATCAAACAATGTCCACTAGGATTATGCCCTTCAATGCCTACCACCTGAAGAAATGAACACTTTCAGGTTTATGACAACATTTTAAGTGAGAACAACAAACCTATTCTGTCCTGTATTTGACCTGGCCTGGGAAAATGGAAAAGTGACTTAGTTTGTTTAACTCTAGCCGAACACGTTGTCCTCCAGAATGTTCAACACTGTTAAAAGTCAGGAGAGTGAAACCCATATTCAGAAAATAAAAGATAATAAAAGAACAGAAAAGAAAACCTTAAGAGGGTCTTACTATTGTTAAATGTTTAAGCATACTCAAGCTCTGCAATTGTCAGGGCTGTCCTAAATATGTTGTAAATAAACATAACCCAGACAACAAAGCTGATCTTGGAGACAATGTATTGAGAAATAGAATGATTCTGAGCCTTATAACAACCATTATCTGACCAAATATTGGCCTTGAAGCACAAGTTTTATAAGCAAAAACTTCTCAGCCTTAAAATGGTGCTTGAAACTTGATTGTTTAGGAATCAAAATCCACATAATCTTTAGAAAGCTTCTGCATTTACCAGAAAGATACCTAATTGCCACCCTGTTAGTAGATCAATGCACAGGAATAGCATTAGAAAAAAGTTATATAGCTGTTTTTTTACCTGCTTTGCAACAAGACAGATTTGTCGTTTAAATGACCCTCTCCATCGCAGCAGATCATTCCAACAGCAAATATGCTTCTCTGAAGCAATAATTTCACTAGTTTCAGAGAAGGATGGAGATTATATGAAGAAGATAAAGACTGAGAAAGCAGCAACGATGTACCTGTGAAGCAACTGAAGGATCCATTGGTTCCTCATAGAACCCAGAAGCTCCAAGTGCAGAAGCATGTTTTCTAATGCGGCTTTCAAGTGCATTAAACTGTACAATCAGGAAACTTAATTAGGAAATACATAATGCAGGTAACAAATGATAACACTTATGACAAAAAAATAAAAATAAAAATCCAATACCCTGTCTTCAATCCTATCATACATGAATCTGCAACCTGGTTCAGGACTTGATCCATGGACTACCAAAGAACATTTTTTTTGCGTTTGAACCCTTTTAATAATGTCATCCTCTGCATTCTTATTATCATCTGTATTATCCCCATTCTCCATATTGGGCACATTGCCCATGCTGAATTTCACCAGAAATTTATCTTTTCGTTGCCCAAAAGGTGTCACAAGTTGTGATGGCTTACTCGAAGAATAGCCAACCCCATTTGTTTTCTGTGCCAAATCAAAAGAATCTGAATAAAGATCCTCAGATCTGTTCGGGGTTCCAGGAATACCTTCTGCTCTATCTTCATCTTCATAGTTTAAAATCCTATGCAAGAAATCCATCATCAATAATTTGCATTGAAAGAATAAAAAGGCACTCTCCATGTGTGTAAATAATAAAAATAATCAATTAACAGAACACTGGCAGCTTGATTATGCCACAACATGCTACAAAACAAAATAATTTGAATCACAAGTTTTATCTTTCATTATTAATAGCCCATTTGATATAGAATATAGGCAAAAGCCAACCATGGATTTAACTGTCTTGAGTCATATATGCAAGTCATGTAAACCCAATATTACCTAGAATGATACATGGGTGTATGTATGTGCAAATACACACAATCTGACAAGGGAGGTAAGAGCTAGTAAATAAGAAAACACAACATAAAATGCTCACATTTCAACATCTTTACTTGAGTAGACATGCAAGCCAGGCTCATCTTTAACGATCATCTCTTTCTGCTCATTCTGAAGATGCATCAAAAAACCATCCATCTCTGCATTCCTTAACACAGTGTCATCCAGCTGCCTGCAGTAAAAATAACATTACTTACTAATAATAGAACTTATATAAAACAAAGAATGGTCAGAGGTTGCATATCTGTCCCAAACAACAAATAGGGGACATATTAATCTCTTAGCTAGGTAACCCATGAAAGAGAAAAGAGTTACATATCATTTTTATTGAAACTTTTATGTCTTTTGAATAATTCTTTGTTTTTTTTCTCTTTTTCATAATCTTGATCTTGAAATTTGTACATAATTTTTAATAAACATATTACCTCCTTTCTCATTTTATTAAAATGTACACTCTAATTTTGGCTTCAAATTTGACAAGAGAAAGGTTAAAAACTTCAAATGATTCCATCCCTACATCACAATGGTTCAATCACAGTAGTGTCAAAATTTTTAAATTTGAATACACAAAACTGCACCGCTTGCTGATAAATAAATACATCAACAGAAAAGCAACAGAAACATAGAAAAAGCAAGTTTTTAATTCTCTACCATAGAATTAAGAACTACCCAATATTCAAAAAATATATATATATATATATATATCAACTCAATAAAAATGGAAAATAAAAGGATTAGGATGAATATTGAAAGATAGTCATAATCCATTGGGGAACTAACAAACAAGAA